GCCTTGTCAGCGCGTCGCTGTGCTGACACCAAGTTATAGGAGTAACTATAGTTAGTGTATTCCTTAATAGCAACTCGTGTACGGTGCGTCGACGTGCCGAGGTACACAGTGTGTACTTGTGTACTAGCAGATCGGCGCGACATTAACATCTACGAAGATCCAGAAGTGGGAAGCGAGCGACGAGGATTGTCAGCGAGACCCTGGACTACTCGAGCTGTCCGAGCAAATCGGAGGTAAGTTTACGATAGGTGCCCTACCCGACATAAACACCTCACAACTGTTACCGCCCTATGTTTACCTACTCATATCATTATTTGTCTACATAATAATCTCGAACATTTAGCAAAAGATATTGACAACTAAACTTTGAAAAAGTATCCGTAATAAATGTAGTAGTAAATATAAAAAGACTTTTAAACAGTGTGATCTAGTAAGGTGGTGTTTAAAGAACATATCTAACAATATGTTACTGAAAATATTTTTATGGTTCTTTATTTAAGGATGCAACAAGATGAGTTTTAAGTTCTTGAAATTCCATAATCCCAAGTTATTTGAAGTGGTTTGTCAATTTGTGAATTAATAACATTCATTGCTCATTTGGAATTTTTTTAGCCACCTGTTTTCATCTTATGACTAGCAACCGACTTATCCTACAAAATGTAAATAAACCTGATGTGAGAAAGGAAAACTATAAACCCATTTGTGGACGCAAAAAATATCAATTTAAAACTTATATATGATATGATTTTTTATGAGGTTTACTAGACGAAAAAAGAACACTCCTACCTGTATTTTTACTATAATATTTAAATTGTTATAGGAACTACGATTAATAGTTCCCATATCGTTGTTTAGTTAGAGTTTCCATGTATAACATTCTACATAAGAATCTCGTAATTAAACTTTAAATCCAAACCAAATTAGTTACAGCAAAAGACTAAGTTAAAAGGCTAAATACTTAAATTTACACAAAGCTTTGCCTGTTTAAAAGTGTAACGTTCAATTTTCCAAGAAAACTTTGACATTTTCTTTAACACTCCCTTTGTTTTAAATTAGTTTTGATCCTGACAATAAACCTGCTACTTTTAAATACGTTTACTTTATAACAAATCGGGTACAACAGGAAATATAAACTGATTTTGGTTGAAAGTAAAACCATTAAAATATCGACTTTTCCCGATTTTTTTTCAAATTGTGTCTAGATCTGTTCTTATTATACGTGAGAAGATTTTCGGAGAAAATCATATATAAAATGGATAAATCTTTATTTTATATGTAAAATGAAGGGGTTTTAATCGGATTTTAATACTTCCCCTCGTGTGGTTAGGTGATACTATTAACAAACTAGGTCAAATTTGGAAACAAAACCCATGTAGCCTAATAGGAGTTAACTGCAGATCGGGTTGGGACTCTGGGCTCTTAATCGAATTGCTAGTAGAGCTTTCCGCAATGTACTAATTGTAAGCAATTCAGGTCCACAGAAACCATAACCTGCCCTAGTCCATTCATACGAATACAAATTCGCTTCGTTTATTAGCCATATAATCATTAGGATAACATAATTTTATACTTAGGCTATACTTTAAAGAATAATAAAAGAGTTATTAATACAATTTCATTTTAAGACTTAATCTTCTCTATGTAGATGACTACAAAGTGTTTATATACCAAACGTACTTGCAATCCATCAAAAAGATTTTGGTTATATTTAATACCTATTCAACGCCAGAATTGATCAATTATTTGTTTTCGTAAAGTTGGTATTTTGAATTGGGTTGTTAATGCAAAAACTGAAACTAAACCAACCAGAATACTTCATAGCTAAATCAATCATAGTAATTTGTTCTGACAAGGTTTTAGCACTGGAAACCATATGACTAAATAGTATTAAATTATTCACACCATTCAACTTTTCATGAACTTTTTATGTATTTTAATCAAACCCTTCACACAGATGTAATTTGAACTAGTATGATTCATTTAAGAACAATAAATTGAGAAGGGAATAATGCAGTTTATAAACGATAAATAACAATAAATTAGACTGCAAGCTCAAATAATGATTATTAGAAGAATAAAATATGCTTACTTGTGTGGTTATGAACACAAATGAAAGAATTGGTCAACTCTTAGCAAAACGGTACCTCAATTGCTTGAAAATTATTGTTCAAATTAAATTTTGACTTGTGTGATTTGCTCATAAAACATTATGTAGTTACTCCAACCGCTTATCCATTATAAAGGTGGTTGACAAAACATTAGGAGAAAGAATTTATCTGATTGCTGATACAATTTATTAATATCTGTGGCAAAGAATAGAACGAAATAACAATCTTTCAAAGAAATATTGGCTTAACAAACAATATCATACTGTAATAGCGTAACAACTAGGATAAAATATCAATATATATCACTTTAACCTAAGTTACAGATGTTTTATTACTTTTTGAGCATGCCAAAATGCCAATATATGTAACTCTAGATAAATGTAAGATATACTGTATTACAAGTTGTATTTATTGAATCACAGTGCAAGAGAAATACGTTTTAGACACTGTGGAGATAGATATTTGTCCTTAAGTTTTTATAAATATACATAAGGCTCAATTGTATCTGAATACTGTGCTTTGTGTATCTTTTGCAAAGCTAAAATGATTTGATTTAATATTTTCATCAATCTTTATTCAGTAGTGCTTAACAACACCAAACAACTATAATTATGCAAATTGTTCACTAAATCAAACGTTAAAATACATAATATTTTGTGAATTGTCATACTATTTTTGTTTTATAATTGAACCTATTAAGTGTAACTAAAAATTCTGTTAAACATTTTAGCGAGCTTTCTCTAAGAGATAAGTTTCAAAAGACTCAAGCTTAGTCGAACTTGTTTGGATGAAAGCAAAGTTGGATCTACTATTATTAAGACAAATTAGGCAGCCTTAGTCTTAGTATAGCTTTCCCTATAAATAAACGTTGCAAAAACATCTTTTGATTTATGGCTGTATAAACTATGTTTACCTAATTTTCGTTTACTCCAATAATTAAATACTTTAATTATATTATTTTTGCACGAGCGGCTAATTATACTTAAATATATCATTTATCAATCTTATTTGTTTGAAAGTTGTCTCTAGATTTTAGCTATACATATAAGGAAAACAAATAGAATAACAAGGCTATAAGATGACAATAAGGTACCACTACCATTACCATTACATATTTTTTACCATTACCATTAGGTATTTTTTACTATTACGGTATCTGTATGGAAATCTGTTGGTTACTTTGTATACTTCAGTAGCTATTTGAGTTATTTATTTAGTTGGTTATAACACGTATGTCTCCATGGACCAGATCTATACAGGATCACTGCCCCTTCCACCGCAGCGATCAACGTGATGGCCTTCCACAACTAGTTGCCATCCCCGTTCTTGTCTATATGTCCACGTGTGGTCCTAGGGGAATCTTGTACAACACTTAGGCCCCTGTTACACTACGGTCGCTGACCACATCACCGGTCAGCTATGTCTGCTCTACGCAGTTGACAGTTTCTAATTGTAAAGATTTCATCGAACAGTGAGTACATGTTGTTACTAGCTTTCCTACTAAAGAGTAGAAGAAGTGCACGTTCATCCTATTCTGTCTGTTCTCGAAAGAAAGATGCCTCTTTGTACGGGACGGGCGGCGTCGTTTTGTAATCCAAATAGTAGGAGGTTACTAATTGTAGATATTTATAGGCATGCACTGTGAATGCGATACTCCCTGGTGTGGATTAACGTCCGCACGAGTGAGTACTACGACTATCTGCAATACTTTCCTGAAAATTAGACCAATTCGTATATACCAAAGCAAAAATGTGTGTGATTCCACTATAAACTGTAGGTCCCTTGGTTACCATTAGCTGTATGCTATTAATTAACAGCTGTGCCTAAGGAATAAGTCGGCCTTAGTCACTAACAAGACTACAAGACCACTCATCTTCATCTCCATTCATACTTGGGTTAAAATACCTACTTTGTATGGTTGCCATTTCATTGAAAAGTATCAAAAAGTATATTCGACGAATAGTGTTAATAGCCAAAGTTTTTAGCTATCTTAGAACGTCAAAAACATATTTTTTTGAATTACTCAATTGCATCAGATACGTTATAGTAGGACGATAGATGCTTTGGAGGGAAACCATATCACGCAGCATCTAGCTGCGAGCGCATCGACCTGCATGGCTAGCCATGTCGCCAGAGTCCGTAATGTAACAGGCTGTCATATAACCAAATGTTAACAAGAAAACTTCCACAGCTTGGAGCAGCCCCTGCCCGGGTGGCTAGTGACTGTATAGTTGAGAACAGCAAACGCCCGTGGCTGTTTTAGCCACCCGAGTCGCTCATTTCAGCCACGCCACGGTAGTGTAACAGAATTACATTTGATTCAGTGTATACACTTGCGCCTGTAGCTGGTGACGTCACCAGTACAATGATATTTATAAAGAGTGACGTCATCAGCGATGTGGCTAGCTACTGTAGTCTGACAGGGGTCTTAGATCCCTGCATCGTCAGGGTAATCTAGGGAACTCCACATCCCCCTTTAGTCTGGGGTTCGGATCGCCCACCTTATGCAGCAGCTACAGCTGGCTGAGGCTTCGCCCTCACCTGGTCTTCACTGCAGACTGGGTATCCATTTTGCCCCCAATGCGTAAAAAAAGAAAAGAATAAAACAACAGTACTTTTTTGTAGAAATTCAAAATAAAATATTATTTTACAACCTCCAGTATTTGATTAAAGATTTTACATTTAAACATTTAAATTCAAACACAAACCTTCCTCCAATATTTTCAAATCGAAAAATAAAAAAGGTGTTCTTGTTTGCAAAGCGTTGAAATGGAAGAGCGGCAGTACGGTTGAGAGGAGAGGGTGTGTGGGAGGTTTGGAGGGAGGTTAATGTAGGGGGATTGTATGGGTAGTAGAGGGACAACTCCCATAGCTTCAGTTGTGTGTCGGTCGCCGAGGAGATCACATCTCTGGAATACCTCCTCTCTCGATTTGTGTCGTGTCGTGGCGTTTTTGGAAATACTATTAACAAAAGTAAGTTCAAATATCTTAACTTCTAAAAACTTTTTTTGAGCGTTAATGATTAGGGTCTAGCTATATGAATGCATTTAATAAAATTAGTTATAATGTCATATCAATATTTTGCACAAGAGTGAGATGTTTTAATTATACATGCGATGTTTCAGTATCTAAAATACTGTATCGGTTAAGGGAGGTTAATTTTTTTCATAATTTTAAAATTACGTCATTTGAAAAAAACTAGGGAAAAATATTATTTGTTATTGTATCTAGAGATTTCGCTATATTAGATTGAGTTTTCACCTCATAGTATACTTACCCACAATCCTACACTTATTTCAAGCAATATGAAATGCAAGTGCTACCTGAAAAGAAATATTTGGGTTACCTACACCAATTTAAGAGTAACTCGTAGTACTTTTCAAAACTGTTAATTAATACTGAACTTTTAAAGTTGATATGTAGATTACTATGTTTGAACGATAACTATTTTATATAGTAGTTGGAAAAATATACGCCTTTAAACTAGATTCTTAGCATTTTTATTTATTGTTTACCCTAATATATATCATGTATTTTTAAACTTTATTTCACTCTATCTATTTTAAAAAAGCTCACTGAATTAATTTCTGAAAGATTTTGTTTTTTATTAAAATAAAATTTAATTAACTTTCCAAAAAGCAAGTACGAATTTTTTGTATTTTTGACCATATCAATCGTGGAAATTTGTATACAGTACCCATGAAATTTAACATGATAAAAATGGCTTAATATTCATTAATTAGTATTAATTTCATCTCAAGCTATTTATTCCTAATAATATTAGAAGTTTTATTTTGTGTTCATACCTTCTATTTACAGCTAAAATAGGTATAGTTGACGGTTAATAATGATGTTATTCAAATAAAAAAAATCATAAACAGCAATTTTCGAAATTATGTTTATAAGTTATAAACCTGATATCAAAATGGCAATAAATATACTCTTTATATTCGGCAAGACCGGCTCAGTGAAAACTTCGTTTGACTTGTAAAATCCGCTTATACTTTTTTGTCAAACACTTTTTTCATATCATTTCACAGCATGGATTATATGGTATTTACCTCGCGTCGGGGCTTTAACTGATAAATCCAACAGTATAAACTTTCTTTTATTACTAAACTTTTACACCTAGCGTTCTAATAATTCCAAGAGATCTTAACGGGATTGAAAATTAGAATCAGTCTCGTTCAACCATGCTGGTCATCACACCAACTTTCGCTTGGCAGTGAGTAAATATTGTTCTTTGCTTTTTAAATACATTGAAATATAAATTATATCATTGTAAGAACATAAGAAAAGAACCCAAACAAAAATCAACACGATTACCTACGTTTGATCAAGGTCATCTGTTATCTTTACTTTGAAAGATACACAACTTTCCACCACCTTTAATATATTTATTATAATAATATATTATATATATTATCAAATATACATTATCAATATTTATATAAGATATTGATTATATATTGCAAATATATATATTCGTTGATAAAATATACTCGTTTATCTTTGATTGAGTAATAAAGGGTGTTATTACTATCGTATTTTTGCAATAATATGAAGAACAATTTATGTTTTAGTCCTAACATGAGGGTAGAATGGAATGTGATACCTTGTGAAGTTCTGCCCCTTCAGACCTATTCTTTTAACAATTGGTAACAAATGGACTACTTTTCAGGACATATCGCGTCCTGATATACTTTTCAGGACCGTATTTCAGGACAGATGTTATATGATTATAGACCGTTAGGTCTAGTTTTGAACAATTAGATAGTTGCTGACTCGTTAAGACCGAATCAGCGACATTCTTATTACCAGGTAAACTGGTATATACTCTATGCTACATATTTATGTTTTTCTTTTGAGTGTCGGAATTAAACCACGCTAATCTACAGCTTGTTTCCAATGTGATGACGTCATTACCAGGTGTTTTAAGGCACTATTAAGTTGTTTATAAACAGATAATCTATCTTTAGGGTAAATAGATTCGTCCTTGGACGAGAAGAACCATCTGTATGTTCGAAGACTCTCTTTACAGAAAGTGATAAATTAATTTTCCCTTTATAAAAAATTCACATGTTTATTTAAAACCAGATTTTTCAACGACATAAGTTGTTTTATGTAATTTATTTTACACCCCCATTTTTTTCTCGGGGGATATCAAAACAAAAATTAAAGCGGTCCTGGTTCCAGGTTTACCACGAGAGTCAAAGAAAACTCTCGCTGAGTAAAATAATTACTCAGCATGCATTTGAAAACTATATTAGTGTAATGTATGTTATAATGTAGTTAATGTTTTGAATCCATTTGAATGGACAATATTGATGTTGTTTTAATACAATAATCCAATTATCTGCTTCGTCAGTCGATGTGTTGGCTCAATATTATTTAACACTAATATCATTATCTATACAAATGGAATGCTATGTAAATATAGATGGAAACATATTATTTAGTCATTTGGCCTTAAGTTATATTTCAACTGATCAAACAAATAATATAACAGGCTCAACTATTGTTATTTCAACAATAAACCCCGTTCAAAGGTTTACTTGGTTTCTTATTAAAAGAATTACAGGGCATTATTAAAAACCACACTGGCTTAAGTAATCTCACAGTTAAATGATAAGTTATTAATTTCCCCTTTTCTAGAAAAAACAAAAATTACCATTAGTTGATTAGTTGTCTTTACAATATAAGTACAACGAAAATATAATTTGGATTAAATACATTAATATTTTCAATACATTTTACGTAAATGCATATTTTTATAGATGTTGGGAGATTTAGTATTTCAACTGTTTTTATACCTTACATATGTTTCAAGAGAATTCTCTTTTTAATTCCCAGTAGTTCTTTTGAACGAAGATTTGTTTTACAAAACTGTATTCTTGGTATTCACATCACCACCTTATCAATAAGGAAAACCTACTTTTCCTCCTTCGAAGATGCTTTTAACAATAGATCTACACTTATATTTATTTTTAAATATTTGCTCGATAAAATAAAAAAAGTGTTTTACAATAAAAAAATATTATAGTTTGAGCTTAAAAGCGACTTACAATCTGCTAAAACGAACACAAATATTTTAGTTCAAGCTTCAGTTTCTGTTTGTAACTCGTTTTCTCAAGTGGGTAGGATAGTTTGGGCTGGCTTGGTATGTAAATGAATTATCTTAGTCTTGGATAGAGTTGGTATATTGTTATGTTGATCTTGGTATAAAATGGTTGAATAAATTGCATAAATTGAATAAAGTTGCCTTATTTAGTGACGTATTTCACTAGTACCTCTGAGGTTTGAATTGTTCTTAAAAGCTAACCTGGTTGTATAGGTTATACCTTCAAAGTTTCAACTGGAATGTTCTTTTATACCTAAACCTGGGTTTTTATATACCTGGCAATGATCTGTCTTCCCGGAATTTTTGAATATTTGAGTTAGAATAAAATATTAGTAATTTAGTTAACGTGGTATAATAATAATCATTGTTGATGGTTCCGTTTACTTTATTACATAATTAATACAATCAGGAATGGTAAAATATTTCTTGTAACCATCAATTATATCCATAGTTAATGCTCTCATAGCAATTAACCCTATAAAACCAAAATACCCCCGCCGCAGCAAACCTGCAGACTAAGCGAATTTCCATTTGCCTGATTGGATTTACACTAAAATGTCTCCTTAAAAATATCACATTTATTCCCTATTTAAATCGAATCAGTTTAACACATACTTAGGTTTGCTGCAACAGAGAGGGTTAAAGTGTTTTTATGTAAAATGTTAATAGTTAGTAAGAAATAAAAACATTTTCCAAATTTGGGCAAAATATGTTAATAAATAAGCAAACTACAACAGTTTACTTATCCTCCATAAGAATAACATGGGAATTTTAAATTTACAATTTTTTTGAATTTTCTCCGTAACCATTAGGCGCATTATAACGCTTCAATATACTAAATTTTATGTTTTTTTAAGCTCTACAAAATAGTTTGGAAAGAAATTGCAAAAATTTAAGTTTTTTGGGTCAAAAATGGGAAAAACCCATTTTTACCCCATAAAAGCCCCCATTAACCCCCGTTCCCATGGCCCGATCATGCTGGTTCGCGAACTCGTTCGAATAAACGTAGGTTTACACGTTTGTACCAAATTTCATCAAAATCGGATCATTTTTGCTCGAGTTATCGCGCTAACGGACACATATATATATATATATATAAATATATATATAAATATATATATAAATATATATATAAATATATATATATATATATATGAATTTGAACGGTTGCTGTTTTTGGCCTCTAGGGACCTCAAAACGAAAAAAAAAATCGGTCCCGGGTCCAGGTCTTACCATGAGTACTACGGTAATAGCTTATTCCCTATATGGGAAATTCGCTAAAATGAAGGTTGTGAAAATAATTTACGACAAAAGATAGAAAGGTCAATGAGGTGAAACCTGGGTTGCCTCTCGATCATTAAAATATCCGGGGAAATTTACTTCATTTCAGGTTCTTGATATTTTCCTGCAGTACATTGTGATGATTGTTATTTCTACGGAAATCTTTATATCCCATAATAGTGTTCACAAAATAATAAAGACAATTGTAATACAAATTTATGAGGCCATATGTTTGTATAATTTTGTATGGATGAAAACATAGTTCGGTTATTTTTCAGACGGTTCATAGTGACATGTTTTCCTCCTAAATCACTAGTTGATGTAGTTCTAATAAAATTGGATAGCAGAACGCATAACTTAGCTTCTTTGCAGTTTTAAAAGTATTAAGTATCTGTATTAAGTAAAGGATTTAATATTTTTTTATAAATATAGCCAAAATGTAAACTGTAAAGTTTGAGGGGTTCTTCTGGCTTCACGTAAGACATTCCTTAACACATATTGGTTCATAAAAAACAACAATTACGTGAGTAATTTAAGAGTTTGAAAACAACCTTTTTCTATCAACTACAAC